TCCCCCTGCAACTTGAGCCCTTTGCTCCTTGTTCGGCCACCTGCCCCCACTGAGAACAGCCTCACTCCAGCCTCTTTGCAACCTCCCTTCAGGAAGTCGAAGGCTGCTCTCAAATCCCCCCTCACTCTTCGCTTCTGCAGACTAAACAGACCCAAGTCCCTCAGTCTCTCCTCATAGGCCATGTGCTCCAGCCCCCTAATCATTTTGGTTGCCCTCCGCTGGACCCTCTCCGATGCGTCCACATCCTTTCTGTAGTGGGGGGCCCAGAACTGGACACAATACTCCAGATGTGGCCTCACCAGAGCTGAATAAAGGGGAATAATGACACCTCTGGATCTGCTGGAAATGCTCCTCCTAATGCAGCCTAATATGCCATTAGCCTTCTTGGCTACAAGGGCGCCCTGTTGACTCATATCCAGCTTCTCATCCACTGTAACCCCCAGGGCCTTTTCTGAAGAACTGCTGCTTAGCCAGTCGGTCCCCAGCCTGTAACAATACTTGGGATTCTTCCGTCCCAAGTGCAGGACTCTGCCCTCGTCCTTGTTGAACCTCATCAGATTTCTTTTAATATGCCATTAGCCTTCTTGGCTACAAGGGCGCCCTGTTGACTCATATCCAGCTTCTCATCCACTGTAACCCCCAGGGCCTTTTCTGAAGAACTGCTGCTTAGCCAGTCGGTCCCCAGCCTGTAACAATACTTGGGATTCTTCCGTCCCAAGTGCAGGACTCTGCCCTCGTCCTTGTTGAACCTCATCAGATTTCTTTTGGCCCAGTCCTCTAATCTGTCCAGGTCACTCTGGACCAGGGGTCACCAACCAGTCGATCGGGATCTACTGGTCGATCTTGGAGCCTTTGACAGGTGACCCTGACAGGTTTGGTCAGGAGGCTGTCAAGTGCCAGCACTTCAGCTGCCCCTCTCCACACTTCTGTGTTGCTCCCGCCTTCTGCCTTGGAGCCGTTCCCCTCCCCCAAGACCTGGGAGCCTCTTGCTTGCTGTGAGGGGCACAGGAAGAAGAGGAGGGGGTGCTGATGTTAGAGTGCCCCTCGCCCACCCTGTATCCCATCGCCACAGAGCAGAGGTGGGAGAGAATTTGCTGGCTGCTTTTGGGAGTGGTGCAGGGCCAGGGTAGGGGTGAGCCTGCCTTAGCCCCCTGCCCGGCCCCCCAAACCACTGCCCCAGCCCTGAGTCCCCCCGCACCCACCCAGAGCCTGCCCCTGAACCCCCTCCTGCACTCCCTGCCCCAGGCTCAGCTCAGAACCCCTCCCGCACTCCAAAACCTTTAGCCCAAGATCAGAGTCCGCAACCCCCCCGCATCCTGGTCCTCTGGCCCCAGCCTGATAAAAGTGAGCAAGGATGGAGGAGGGAGGGAGGATGGCGTGAGCAGGGGCGGGGGCTCAGGCAGGGGCACCTCCTGCTTAAAAAGGTTGGAGACCCCTGCCCTGGACCCTATCGCTGCCCTCCAGCGTATCTACCACGTCATCATTCATAAATCTAGATCATTTATAAATCGGTTGAATAGGATGGACCCTCAGACAGACTCTCGGGGGACCCCACTAGCTCCCTCTCCCCACTCAGAAAACTGACCATTTATTCCTACCCTTTGTTTCCTGTCTTGTAACCAGTTATCAGTCCATGAAAGGACTTTCCCTCTTATCCCATGACAACTTACTTAAGAGCCTTTGGTGAGGGACTGCCCAGATGCCCTATGGCTATGCCCCCCCCCCAACAACCCTAGATTCCAAGGCCAACGGGGACCATTAGATCCCCCCTGTGTGAGCACCGCCCCGGATTAATCCATTTGAACTAGAGCAGCTCTAAGGCATGGACGACAGGGCCAGTGAGGGAGAATTCGCCGCCGCCCCATGCAAGCTGTTCCACCGGTAATTGCCTTGACTGTTCCCACCGTGCACCACGTTTCCACCGTCAGCCACTGAGTGATGTTATCGCCCTGCGCACCGCCTACCATCGCCCGTGCAGCACCATCCCACCGCTGCCACCACCATGCCCCAGCCAGGGCTGCACGCTCACGTGCTGCTGAGCACAAATCTGGGCCTGGAGGCGAGTAGCCCTTGGAGTCCAGCTTCCAAACCTGCCTGCCTCTGATCCCACTCGCCTACGTCCTGCAGACGCCCCATGCGGCTTGCGAGGGGCTCTGCAGACTAACCTCCCCAGCCAACGCACTGGCCGGACCTCCCCTGAAGGGGACGCTGATGCATCCTTGGACAGATACATGGCTGGATCATTGCGGCGCGCTCTCCATGGCCTCCACCTGCCTCTCGGCTTCTCCAACTTTCACCTAGATGGCCATGAACTGGGCACCACCCATGCGTCTTTCTGCCTGAAAATGCCCCCCCTCCTTTCCATTACTCTCCTCTCACTAAGTCAGGTGGGAGCAAATGGAGGCAGCAGCGTGTGCACCTGTACC